GAGCATGATCACACACACACACACACACACACACACACACACACACATTGCAGCAAGATATATATGCTGTTGGTATCTTGCAGAAGAGCATGATCACACACACACACACACACACACACACATTGCAGCAAGACATATATGCTGTTGGTATCTTGTAGAAGAGCATGATCACACACACACACACATTGAAGCAAGACATATATGCTGTTGGTATCTTACAGTAGAGCATGATCACACACACACACATTGCAGCAAGACATATATGCTGTTGGTATCTTGCAGAAGAGCATGATCACACACACACACACATTGCAGCAAGACATATATGCTGTTGGTATCTTGCAGTAGAGCATGATCACACACACACACATTGCAGCAAGACATATATGCTGTTGGTATCTTGCAGAAGAGCATGATCACACACACACACACACACACACACACACACACACACACACACACATTTGCAGCAAGACATATATGCTGTTGGTATCTTGTAGAAGAGCATGATCACACACACACACATTGAAGCAAGACATATATGCTGTTGGTATCTTGCAGAAGAGCATGATCACACACACACACACACACACACACATTGCAGCAAGACATATATGCTGTTGGTATCTTGCAGTAGAGCATGATCACACACACACACATTGCAGCAAGACATATATGCTGTTGGTATCTTGCAGTAGAGCATGATCACACACACACACATTGCAGCAAGACATATATGCTGTTGGTATCTTGCAGTAGAGCATGATCACACACACACACATTGCAGCAAGACAAATATGCTGTTGGTATCTTTTAGAAGAGCATCATCACACACACACACATTGCAGCAAGACATATATGCTGTTGGTATCTTGCAGAAGAGCATGATCACACACACACACACACATTGCAGCAAGACATATATGCTGTTGGTATCTTGTAGAAGAGCATGATCACACACACACACATTGCAGCAAGACATATATGCTGTTGGTATCTTGTAGTAGAGCATGATCACACACACACACACATTGCAGCAAGACATATATGCTGTTGGTATCTTGTAGAAGAGCATGATCACACACATACACACACACACAAATTGCAGCAAGACATATATGCTGTTGGTATCTTGTAGAAGAGCATGATCACACACACACACATTGCAGCAAGACATATATGCTGTTGGTATCTTGCAGAAGAGCATGATCACACACACACACATTGCAGCAAGACATATATGCTGTTGGTATCTTGTAGAAGAGCATGATCACACACACACACACACACACACATTGCAGCAAGATATATATGCTGTTAGTATCTTGTAGAAGAGCATGATCACACACACACACATTGCAGCAAGACATATATGCTGTTGGTATCTTGCAGAAGAGCATGATCACACACACACACATTGCAGCAAGACATATATGCTGTTGGTATCTTGCAGAAGAGCATGATCACACACACACACACACACACACACACACACACACACACACACACACACACACACACACACATTGCAGCAAGACATATATGCTGTTGGTATCTTGCAGTAGAGCATGATCACACACACACACATTGCAGCAAGACATATGCTGTTGGTATCTTGCAGTAGAGCATGATCACACACACACACATTGCAGCAAGACATTTATGCTGTTGGTATCTTGCAGTAGAGCATGATCACACACACACACATTGCAGCAAGACATATATGCTGTTGGTATCTTGCAGTAGAGCATGATCACACACACACACATTGTAGCAAGACAAATATGCTGTTGGTATCTTGTAGAAGAGCATCATCACACACACACATTGCAGCAAGACATATATGCTGTTGGTATCTTGCAGAAGAGCATGATCACACACACACATATTGCAGCAAGACATATATGCTGTTGGTATCTTGTAGAAGAGCATGATCACACACACACACACATTGCAGCAAGACATATATGCTGTTGGTATCTTGTAGAAGAGCATGATCATACACACACACATTGCAGCAAGACATATATGCTGTTGGTATCTTGTAGAAGAGCATGATCACACACACACACACACACACACACACATTGCAGCAATACATATATGCTGTTGGTATCTTGCAGAAGAGCATGATCACACACACACACACACATTGCAGCAAGACATATATGCTGTTGGTATCTTGCAGTAGAGCATGATCACACACACACACATTGCAGCAAGACATATATGCTGTTGGTATCTTGTAGAAGAGCATGATCACACACACACACACATTGTAGCAAGACATATATGCTGTTGGTATCTTACAGTAGAGCATGATCACACACACACACACACACACACACACATTGCAGCAAGACATATATGCTGTTGGTATCTTGCAGTAGAGCATGATCACACACACACACATTGCAGCAAGACATATATGCTGTTGGTATCTTGCAGTAGAGCATGATCACACACACACACACACACTCACATTGCAGCAAGACATATATGCTTTGGTATCTTGTAGAAGAGCATGATCACACACACACACATTGTAGCAAGACATATATGCTGTTGGTATCTTGCAGTAGAGCATGATCACACACACACACATTGTAGCAAGACATATATGCTGTTGGTATCTTGCAGTAGAGCATGATCACACACACACACACATTGCAGCAAGACAAATATGCTGTTGGTATCTTGTAGAAAAGCTTGATCACACACACATTGCAGCAAGACAAATATGCTGTTGGTATCTTGCAGAAGAGCATGATCACACACACACATTGCAGCAAGACAAATATGCTGTTGGTATCTTGCAGAAGAGCATGATCACACACACACATTGCAGCAAGACATATGAAGATAACAGATGGTTTCATAGTCAAGACTGATGATGTCAGGTGATAGATCATATTTTACAAGCCACAGCATTTTGATGTGGATGACCAGTTCTCTACTTCTCCATTTCAGATAATTCTAGAAAATTCTGAAAATTATTTTTCACCCATTTCATGGGGCTGGGTGGACTTGACCATTTTCTTGTTAGTAAGTCCACTAACCCCTACGGCTCCAGTGTGAATAAGACAAACATGAGACCCCAAAAACGTTATTTTGAGATCATGTGAAGAAACAAAAATTACAAACATAAACAAATTTGAAGACCACCTTAAAAAAATATTTGTTTCCATACTGTTAGAGAGTATTGTATCCACTGTTGTTGTAGTCCATACTGTTAGAGAGTATTGTATCCCCTGTTGTTGTAGTCCATACTGTTAGAGAGTATTGAATCCACTATTGTTGTAGTCCATACTGTTAGAGTGTATTGTATCCACTGTTGTTGTAGGCCATAATGTTAGAGAGTATTGTATCCACTGTTGTTGTAGTCCATACTGTTAGAGAGTATTGTATCCACTGTTGTTGTAGTCCATACTGTTAGAGAGTATTGTATCCACTGTTGTTGTAGTCCATACTGTTAGAGAGTATTGTATCCACTGTTGTTGTAGTCCATACTGTTAGAGAGTATTGTATCCACTATTGTTGTAGTCCATACTGTTAGAGTGTATTGTATCCACTGTTGTAGTAGGCCATAATGTTAGAGAGTATTGTATCCACTGTTGTTGTAGTCCATACTGTTAGAGAGTATTGTATCCACTGTTGTTGTAGGTCATACTTTATAACAGTGTGGAAACATCAATGATTAAATAGGTGGTCTTAAACTTATTACTAATAATTACATTCAAGTGGTTGCAGCAACAAGAACTGATTCTCCCACATTATTGTTGCACTATATCACCACCAAATTCTGACAATAAAATATCCTTTAAAAGTTCAGAAAAGGAATCTGGTGGAAGAGGAGTTGATACGTCGCGGAATGAACTCCAATATCCCACGAATCCATTCCTTGACCTGTTCCTGTTCTGACTAGATGTCAGACATGTTTGAAGCGGGGTTTTGTGCCCCTCAAACATAGTGCTTTAACTTATAATATTCCCTCACTGCATTTATTGCAGAGGTGACCTCTTGATGTGATTCTGATCTAGTTAGATGCTAGCTTTACTGTGGGTTGCTGTCTTGTTGTAATTATGTTACATGACCAAGTCATCTTAGGTTTGCTGTGTTTTTATTTTTTTAAGTTTGATACCTGTGCAGTTCCCACTTCTTTCTGGACATTGCCATTTCTGGTCTCTTCTCATTTCATTTGTAATTCACAGGCAATACAATCAACTAGCATCATAATCAATTTGTACATTTTTTAACAGAATACATGTTTAATAATGCTAGTTAGTTATCTCTTAAATAATAAGAACTTGGGCTAGGGAACTTGGGCTAGGCAACTTGGGCTAGGGCACTTGGGCTAGGCAACTTGGGCTAGGGAACTTGGGCTAGGCAACTTGGGCTAGGCAACTTGGGCTAGGGAACTTGGGCTAGGGAACTTGGGCTAGGGAACTTGGGCTAGGGAACTTGGGCTAGGGAACTTAGGCTAGGGAACTTGGGCTAGGGAACTTGGGCTAGGGAACTTGGGCTAGGGAACTTAACCTATACAGACTTTCATGACATGACATATGTTCTGCAAACAACAGCAGAGACACAGACCAAACAGACTGCTATTCTTTTACATAAACAGAACATCTGCATACGTGATACGTGAGGTTTAACCAGTTTACCAGGGACATATATTCTACCAGAGCCCATGACAGCACTGCGGCAGACATTCAATGGCTGATAGCCTTTTGTTTTAAAAGTGCACTGTGATCCAGAGATATGATCATTGTGGTCTCAATGCCATGAGTGATGAATAAATCAAACACAACGTTTTCTTATTCTGTTTACACAATATTTTTTACCGTAACTCTGCCACTTTGGGCAAACCAATGCAGAGTTATGGAACCTTGAGCTTCAGATGGTAAACTTGAAGGTCACAAGTTTGACCATATAAGGCATTGCTCTATCTGATCCGGTTTAGCTGAAGTATGTCGTCACTGTGGCCAGGATTTTTTTGTTTAGCTGAAGTATGTCGTCACTGTGGCCAGGATTTTTTTGTTACAGGAAGGACAGTGAGTAAGCAGCTTGGAGCAGTCACTGCATGCCACGAGTTCCCCACAGGGTAGGAAGAGGTCCTTCACTGTGTTCTTGCAGCAGACCCTGCAGTTGAATATCTGTTTGAGATAGAATTGCTCCCTCTCCAGGATCTTCACAGCAGATCTGCTCACATTTGTTGGATCTGTAACAGAATTAGACATCCAGACTGCGTGAAAACACAACACTGATGGTGAATGTATGCTATGGATGATAGTTTCAGTTGCTCAGAGAACAACAAAAACAATAACAGTAACACCGTCTGAAAGTTGTAGTTTTCCTCCGGCATTAAAAATTATGTCCTACCGGTTTATTCCTGCTACTATGTGCAAGCACCAGTCAATGATTGTTTGTAGTTTACTGATCATGTGTTCGGCTGCTGATGATGCACACCACGGTCCCCATGTGGGTTGTGGGGCCTCATTGTGGGAGAAAGAAATAACAGGCCCGCTGCCCCTTAACAAGCATGTCATAAAAGCTGACCAATAAACCATTGTCCTAAATTGGATGTTTTGTGCCCAAAAGCAGATTTGTTGCCTAACTGAAAACAACAACATACCAACTGACCTTTGGGGAAACGGGGTGGGGGAGGGGGGGCGTCCACAGCCCAATGGGGAAGGCTATGGGATGGTGTATAGATGATAAGACTTGTGACGTCATATGTTTGTATTTGACTGACCCAGAGCTGAACCAGCGGTCAGCCAGCTGAATTCAAGACCCAAGGCAGAAACCTGAACGAATTCAAAGAATAAAACTGCTTGGGAACAGAAGCTCAGGGAGAGATTTTGACGGACGCGTTAGACGGAAGACATGGAGAGACATTCTAGATTATATTGTGTTAGAAATTAAAAGATAGCGATAGTTAGCATTGTAGTAATGTGTTTGGTTAGGTGTTAGTAGTTCTCACGTGTTATATAGTGTTTCACGACAGTTGTGGTATCAATATGTCCTACATAAGTAGTTCCTGAGATATTAGAGTAATTAGTGTTAGCTGTGCTTGGCGGTGGGGATATTACCTATCCTCATACACACACCACCACCCCCCCCCCCCCACTCATGTAGCAGACACCTCCCGAATCTTCGTACAGGGTCTGATGGCAAGGTAGAAAGAGAGTATTTGAGGTGAGGTAAAGTCAGACCTTGGCGTTCATCTATGGGAACGTGCGTAGGCGGGAGTGGTTAAGTATAAAATTCTCCCGGCCTAATTTTGGATGCGGGTGCTCACCGTATCATAAGACGACTGCTATTTTGTTATACCGTACTCATGTAATAAATAATTGATGTGTGTGCTCTGTATGTGTTATGCTTGGTGTGTTTTGGATAGTGTGTCTGTCACGGACCCGTATAACGAGACATAATCATTAGGATAGATTTAGGTCCTTGACAAGGTGTAAATGCAGAAAAAGATGAAGAAGAATATAATTTTTAAACATTTATATTCAAACATCTGTAACATTTACATTCTGAATCCTACCAGGCTTGGTCTAGTTAGGAAATATATTATTCATCTAAGCCATCCCATCAATGCAAGAGAAAAAATGTATGATACATACAACTTACCCTCTTCAGGTAACACACACCATACACTAAATGCAAATATGTGTTCTGTACAATAATTATCATGATTCAATGCCATACCTCTTGCTTCTGATGATGAATTCAAAACAAAGTTGACGGCCACTTCTTGTGGACACGGTTGGGGAAAACTGGTATTTTTGATCAATGATTCAATAGGTGACTTTTCCTCTGAGTGTGTGTTGTGTGACATTTCCTCTGAGTATGTGTTGTGTGACATTTCCTCTGTGTATGTGTTGTGTGACATCACCTGGCCTTGTATTGTTGTTTCTTCTGTTTGTCTGAGCAGATTTCCATCAAGTCCAAGTTGAGTATTGGAGACTGGCTGTGACTGTTCTGAAATAAAACAAAACAAACTGTGATGTATAAAAATGGCAAATTATAATAAAAAGAAGAAGAGTCATAGCACCAGAACAACATGCAATTGTAATTAGAGAAGAAGAAGCAGCAAGTCACAGCAAAACAAAACAAAACTCACAACAGAAATGGGAGAAGCAAGTCACAACAACGTTTAAGGTAGTCACAACATTAAAGAAAGAAAGTCACAACAACATTACGGGAAGAATAATAGTAGAATCAACAGACATAGCCACGCTCTCTCTCCTAGACTCACAACAAACAGCAGACATAGTCACACTCTCTCTCCTTGACTCACAACAAACAGCAGACATAGCCACGCTCTCTCTCCTAGACTCACAACAAACAGCAGACATAGTCACACTCTCTCTCCTAGACTCACAACAAACAGCAGACATAGCCACGCTCTCTCTCCTTGACTCACAACAAACAGCAGACATAGCCACGCTCTTTCTCCTAGACTCACAACAAACAGCAGACATAGCCACGCTCTCTCTCCTTGACTCACAACAAACAGCAGACATAGCCACGCTCTCTCTCCAAGACTCACAACAAACAGCAGACATAGCCACACTCTCTCTCCTAGACTCACAACAAACAGCAGACATAGCCATGCTCTCTCTCCAAGACTCACAACAAACAGCAGACATAGCCACGCTCTCTCTCCAAGACTCACAACAAACAGCAGACATAGCCACGCTCTCTCTCCAAGACTCACAACAAACAGCAGACATTTCCACGCTCTCTCTCCAAGACTCACAACAAACAGCAGACATAGCCACACTCTCTCTCCTAGACTCACAACAAACAGCAGACATAGCCACGCTCTCTCTCCAAGACTCACAACAAACAGCAGACATACCTGCTCTTTCACCATTAGGCTCAGAAGCAGCAGCTTGACCATCTGTTCTATGGCTCCTAGATTGTCGTAGCCGAGCTGCAAGCGTGGAGACATCAATACCAGACTCTCGCAGCTTTAGCAACAGGAACTGGCAGTCTGGCCTGTTCCTGAAGTGCTCCTCATGGATGATGTCCCCTTGTCTCCAGGACTTAAGGCCCAGCCCACAGTGGAAGCATCGAACACAGTCTGCATAGTCTGTCAGAGACAAGATTCATTAGGGCTTTATTTAATGAGGAGGTGTAAGGGCAAACAGTTGATACATCAAGTTCTAGAACATTTCTGTCAATGTTGACTGACTGATATAATGACTGAGTGATTTGATGAATGATTAGTATATTGATTGGGTAACTAACTGATCTGTTGGTTAAGTGATTAAGTAATTTATTGACTTTATAATCAGTTGGTTGATTCATTGACTTTATAATCAGTTGGTTGATTCATTGACTTTATAATCAGTTGGTTGATTCATTGACTTTATAATCATTTGGTCAGGAGATTCTCACTTGACTGCACAAACTCTGTGTGACTCCCGTCAGGAGATTCTCACTTGACTGCACAAACTCTGTGTGACTCCCATCAGGAGATTCTCACTTGACTGCACAAACTCTGTGTGACTCCCGTGTGTGTGTGTGTGTGAATATATATATATATAAGTAAAAGACCCTTGTCCACACCCTTAGACTAGGTATATAGGGCTAGACGCGTGCTTCTTAAACTAACTGGCTCTTGGTGGGTGATGAGATCAACATTATGGCAGCCACCTTTACTTCCGAGGACATTACCTGCTACCCATTTAGAGCTGGCTCAACCTCGGAGCCACACACAAAAACTGACTTGATGTGGAAATGAACCCATGACCTTCAGGCTAGCAGCCGAGCATCACGCCACTACACCATGGTAGCTCCCTTATATATACACACACAGACACACATATATGTATATGTGTGTGTGTGTGTGTGTGTGCCTAAATAAGGGCTACGATAAGAACACTTTTCATAAACATTTGAAACAGGAAGTCAACATTTTTGTCCACACTGTCAGAACTGGGATACTGATCATGTTGTGACATGCTGAAAGATTCAAGGAAAGAGAGACGGAGGAAGACAATGCAAGGAGATTTCTGACAGCTTCTTGTCTGGCATGGAGGAGTGTCAGCATAGCAATTAATACTTGCTGTTGAAAATATGGTGAAGCATGAATGTCTCCAGCAAAGCAAAGCACTTGATGATGATGATATAATCATACACATGTCGACACAAGGTCAGACTAACATCACCAACATAGCAAATGTATTTTAAAAACTACTAAAACATCTTACTGGCAGAGAAGAATCCAGCTTCCGCCAGATCTTCACGCGTGTGAATATGGATAAATGGAGTTGGATAACTCTCCAGCCGTTTCCTGTAGGCGGCATATGCTGGATGACAGGGTGGCTGGGTTACTGTGAAGACTGGTGAAGTAACCACCTGGTTAGCTGCTCGGTCAGCTTCGGCAGCAATGTCATCTTGAATTGATGGCCTGAAGACGCTCTGCCGTCCGTGGCTGGTGATGTCATCGTGTGTGACGGCTGTGGGGATTTAAAGAAAGTATGGTAATATTTCTACAGTCGTAGACATTCAGTTGTCTATTCTCAGTATTTGTTCTCAAGTCTCTAAAGGCTCAGATGACTAGGACATACTCTAAGCACAGAGGATGGTGGAGTCCGTAAAGACACTCTCTATATTTCATATGGGTAGCAGATATAAAGTTTGGTCTCAATTACAATTTAATTATGTGTACAAGAGAGACATGAATGAAACAGTTACTGAGATAAACAGAAACAGAATGCCATGGAATGTGATGCATAAGGGGGTGGTAATCAGGAAAAGTAACACATCCATATGCAGTGGAAACAATGACTATGACATCAGTGGACATCTTTATGCAGTGGAAACAATGACTATGACATCAGTGGACATCTATATGCAGTGGAAACAATGACTATGACATCAGTGGACATCTATATGCAGTGGAAACAATGACTATGACATCAGTGGACATCTATATGCAGTGGAAACAATGACTATGACATCAGTGGACATCTTTATGCAGTGGAAACAATGACTATGACATCAGTGGACATCTATATGCAGTGGAAACAATGACTATGACATCAGTGGACATCTATATGCAGTGGAAACAATGACTATGACATCAGTGGACATCTTTATGCAAAACTGTCCTTATGCAAGCTGGTCTTGCCAGTCTACCTCACCATCAACATGGTCTCATTACAGGCAATACTGTAGTGTAC